GGAATAGTAATTAAGACAAGGGGTTTGATGTCCAAGTGTTATAATTGGGGAATTCCTGAACTCCAGAAGATTTAGAAAAGGTAGTCTTTTCAAATCCTAGCACGAGGGAGGCTGAGGGCAGGCGGATCGTTCGAGTTAGAGAGCAGCCTGGGCTACAAAGTGAGCTCAAGGCCAGCCTGAACTGCATAGCAAGACCCTGTCTCAAAAAGATGAAAAGGAGGGAGTGTGGCCAGCAATTGGTAACTTCAGGACTAAGAGTAACTGTAGAGGAGAAAGATATGGGTACAAACTCAGGGAATCTGTACATATAAAAGCAAAGAAATGAAGAAAGTCAATGGACATCATACAGACATGGACCTTAAAAATAAGAACTGTAATATGTTATAGAATGGTCAAGTAGAAAGACGACAGAAAAGGTCAGATTTGACCCCTGAGAAATAATCCTTGGTGACTTTGGAGACAGCAGGATCAGGAAAGCAGGTGCTAATGATCCATTTAAAAGGGGCTGCAGAAAGAATAGTGAGAATGTGGTGTCCACAAGCATAAGGTACTTGTGTAACCCAGCCTCTGATCTCTAGTGTGAGACCTATACAAACTGGGTGGCTTAAATGATAAAAATGTATTGTCTCTCACTTCTGGTGCCAAGAAGTACCATTAGGGTTAGTTCCTTCTTATGGCTGTGAGAAAAATCTGTTCTGTGCCTCTCCTGTAGCTTGTGGTGGTTTCTTGGCAATCCTTGGCTTGTAGAAGTATTGCCCTGATCTGCCTTTACCTTTACTTCACCGTCTTCTTGTGACCCTCTCTTTCTCCTAGATCTGCACCCAAATTTTCCTTTTTTTCTTTTTCTTTTTGTTTCTTTTGGGGAGGAGAGACAAGGTCTCACTGTGTAGTCCAAGTTGTCTTTGAATTTGTGGCAATCCTCCTGCTTCAGTTTCCTGATAACAAGTATGAGCTATCCTGCCCAGTTTGCAAATTTTCCTTTTTATGAGAATATCAATCAGGTTGGATTAGGGTCCATGACCTCATCTTAACGCATTATATATGCAGTGACCCTGTTTCCAAATAAGGTCACATCTGAGATACTGGAAGTTAAGACTTCAACATCTGAATTTTTGGGGGGCGGGGTTGTTGCACAGTTTAGCCCATAATGTCCTCCCACTGGTGGAATGTAAAGAGAAACCAGAGCCCAGGGAAGTCCACTATACAGGCCTTATGAATCAGCCTTGCAGAACACACAGCAAGGCAGAAGATGGACAGGGCATGTGGATGACATACAGCCTCAATACTCCCCATTCCCCTAGTCCTGTCAAAAGTTCCAGCTCTTCTCCTAAGGACCAAAGGCTAGGATGGGAGGAGAATGAGCTTGAGCTGTTTATTTCCCTGCCTTCCCTGCCACTACCGAGGTTGGCTGCATCCCCCTACCAAAGGCCACAATTCCTGTGAGGCAGCCCTCTTTGTTTTGTTTTGCTTTGAGACAGGGTTTCACTGTGTAGTTAGCCTGGCCTTGAACTCACTGTGTACCCCAAGCTGGCCTCAAACTCACAGTGGTCCTCCTGTCTCAGCCTCCCAAGTACTGGGATTACAAGCTTGTGCCACCACACACAGCTGGTAGTTTTCCCTTACAGGACTCTCCCCAGTTCTAGTAACCACTCCCTCTTTTTACCCCTTGATGTCTAGGATTGGTGCCAGCTCCTTGGTGGTGTTAGCTCTGGGGTACTGCACTGTTCCTTCATAGTTTTCCCAAATCTTGTGCTTTAATATACTCTTTATTAAACTCTCACCAAATTACCCAGTTTGAGTGCTATGTATTTCTGCTAAGTCAATATAATGGGTATATTTGGAGCAAGCAAAACAAAAAATATTTTCTTAAAAATTTGAATGGGTGAGGAGACTCCATAACTAGAGTGATTTAAGCACATTTACTGCTACATATGAATGGCTTAGAGAATGAGGGAATTTAGCATAGGTTAAGGTAGTACTTTGCAAAAAGATTTTATTCATTTGTTGAAGGCCTACTTTCATACACCACTAGGTCAGTGGTGGCGAAGCTATGGCATGTGTGCTGCAGCAGGTTGTTGTAAAAGCTCTGAAAGTTTTGTCATCACTGTTCTAGGTGCTAGAGAAAAAAAGGACAGATAAGTCATGGCCCTTGCCCTCAAGGAGCTCACAGTCTAGTAGCAGGAAGCAGATAAGTAAACAATTACTTGCATAAAACATCACAGATGCTGTAGTTAAGTCTGAGCTGGAGTTAATTTTGGGATGGCCAACATATAGTAAAAACAATGAGAAAAGATGGGATTGGACATTGAATTAATGGAGTCTTAGACATGAGGATGTAGCTAAGCGGTCAAGCATGGGCCTCACCTGTGCAAAGTGCTGGGTTTGAACCCCAGCATTGTCCAAAAAAAAGGAAGCTTGAAGGACTGCAATAATTAAGGATAGGAAAATCTGCCAGAATATGAAATTAAGAAAATAATTACAATAGTAGTTCCAATATATTAAGCATTTACCATTTCCTAGGGTGCTGTAGGTTATCTCTGTATTTTTCACAACTGCGGAGGATTGTTATTGTCTCTTTTATGCACGAGAAAGGAAGGCTCAAAGACATTCAGTTTTGTCTGAGGTTGCACAGGTAGCAAGTATGAAAGGCAGGAGCTGAACCTAGCATGGACTCCACGTTTATTCTTTTTAACTTCCAGTATACTCAGACAGGTGTAGAACTAGGAGAGAAGCTGACACTATGGAAGCCAAAGTGGAAGAGAATTTAAAGGAGAAATGAGGAATCAACCACAACAAAGGCCACAGAGAGATCAAATAAACTGATGGTTAACAAGATCCTATTGAAACTTGCAACAAGAAGATCTGAAAGGAACTTTGTCTGGGCAGTTTTATTAGCAAGGTGGGAATAGAGGAACTAACTGAAGTCTCTGAAGAATTGGTGGGAAAGCGGGGACTCTTTTCACAGAGTTCGGCATTCAAGAGGAGAGAGGGAGGGTGAAAGTCAGAGGGCCTTGCTCAAAGGAGCCTATCTGGAAAAAGCGTTCTGGATTTGTCAAGAGCAGTATGGAAAGATCAGTGCTGAGAAGCCCAACCAGGCTGGAAGATGGGGGTTGGAGGTAAAGTCTGAGGTGCCAGTGTTGGGATAGGTTAAGGGCAGTTTATTGAGAAGTCTAGGTCTGTCTCGGGTCCTAGGAGGAGAGATTTGTTTTCAGGGCTGCTGCCAACAACTTAACGGTAGGTATGAATGGTTGGCAATGTGTGTAGTACGGCAGGATGCTGACTCAACCACGGGTGGGCACACAGACAGGGGCGCAGCCCCTCGGCAGGAAGGCTGCAGTCCTCGGTAGTCTGTCCAGGCCTGGGAAGGACACAGGGGCAAGGGCGTCCTCTCACAGGGTTTAGGTAGGATCTCCAGCAGGCTGGGCTCCACTTCTTCATAGGTATCTGTGACTGTGGCCTTGGGCTGGGAGAGACGGTTGAGAGGAGCTGGATTAGAGTAGATCCTGACTATGTGGGAAAGCAAGTTGGGTTGGGGGGAGTGCCCAGGATGGTGCACTGCTAAGCCATGACCTTGAACACACTGCACTGGGGGGACAAGGAGCATTGGTAGTAGTCTGTGGGGAGGGACAGCACACTCACCATACTCAGGGCTGCGGTATCTCTAAGGTACGGGCCAAGGACCCGGTGCAGATCTGGAAGTGAGGGCCACACGGCATGCCTCAGCCTCCTAGGGGACAAGTGAGAGAAGAAGACTGAGTCATAGGTGTGAGCTGGGAGGGGTGGGGAGAGCACTAGAGCGGGGCTCCGGTGGAGACAGACTGAGGAGTGAGTCTTGAGGGATGGAGCACAGTTCAGGCTGTAAAGTAAGGCAGAGGAGCAGAGGTGGGAAGAAGACCTTTGGGGAGACGGAAGTCAGTGGCAGGTAGCTTCCCAAAGGGCAGTGCGGAACGTCCTCAAACACTGCTGCTTCAGGGCCTTTACACTTGCTGCTCTTTCTGCCTGGAACACTCAGTTCATTCCCTCCCTCCAGTTAGGGCTCTGCTGGATGTCAGCCTGACAGAGGCACTTTCCCTGATTAGGATGCCTAAAATTGTAACATCACCCTTCCCATCATTTTATTTCTCACTGTGCTTTTCTGTGTAGCACTTGACTTACTGTATATTTATTTTATTGTTACATATACTTGTTTTTGTCTGCCTCTCCCCATTAGAGTGTAAGCTCCGTGACAACAGTTTGGGTATTTTTTCACTCCTGTATCTCCAATGCCAAGCCCATCTTAGGTGTTCAAGAAGAGAACCGGAGGAGCTTATTATGAGTTATTAGGGAGGGTTTCCGGCTTGTCCCACAACCTTATTCCTGCCTCCCTAACAGCAGAGGAGGGACTTACCTGGCTGGGGAAAAGGAACAGAGTATGCCTGGTTCGGCAGCACCTCCTCCCTCTTCTCTTTTTTGCCCGATCCACTTTGCTCTTACAAAGGCAGATTTAAAGTTAAGAGAGTGGCATGGTCAAAGAGAAATAAGAACCAATAAGGGGGGGCACCTGACCCAGCCTAAAACACAGTGCCCAGAGGAGCTGACATCTGAGCTAAGTCTTCAAGGATTGGCAGATACTACCAGCTGAAGAACTGAGGTGGCATGGATTCTATCCTTCATGTTTATAACTCCCAGTGACATTTCCCCTCATCCCCCACATACATGAGTCACTCATTACTAACATTTATTTAAGGCCCTGCTACTTGGCAGGCACTGTGCTAAAACTTCAAAATGACCAAGTAAGGTATAATGAAGAAGACATGTAATGAACTAAATGCAGGACTAGGGGTGTAGCCCAGTGGTACAGGGGGTGCTTAGTAGGCACAGGGTCCTGGATTCAATCGACAGCACCAAAAAAGAAAAAAATAAATGAATGAATAAATAAATGCAATAAAACACTACAGTACTGTGTTGGGACACAGAAGAGCAGCCAGGGAGGGAGGGCCAGGAAAGGTCTCCTAAGAGCTGGTGAAGAAAGTTATTTAAAGATGAATGGGTATTAGCCAACCAGGGAGGCTATTCCAGGCAGAGGGGACATTATGTTCAAAGGCACTGAGGAGTGAAACAGCCTGACTTGTGGAGGAAATCAAGTTTGGCAAGGTTAATGCACAAGGTAAGAGAGGGTGGAAATGCGGGCAGCGAATTTGCATAGTGTAACCTGTCATTCTACAGAGTCTGGACTCTATCCTGGGAGTTGCTGGAGGGATTTAAGGAGGGGGCAGATGGGCTTATGTATACATTTTAGGAAGCTTATTCTGGTGGCTGTGTGAGGTTAGACTGGAGGGAGAAGCGCCTGTGTTTCAGGGAGTGGGTAGTGTCTGTAGGAGTAAAGGGGCTAGGTTTAGGAGGTGGAATGACCAGAGCTGAGCGCTACCTGGGTGGGGTGGGGGAGGGGAGGCAGGTGCTTGAGTGTCCTGGCGTTTGCCCAGCACCGACAGTAACCCTGTCACTCAGCTGAATACCCAGGAGGTGGGGCTATTTGAGGAGCCCGTTATAGTGGGCATGTTAGAGTGTAAGGAGACAGTACCACTCCGACAGACATGCAGGAAGCTGCTGAGGCCATAGGTGTAGACGTGTGGTGGTCCAGAAAGCAAATGTCACCATGTGTTGCTAGGATGCCTGTTTAGAAATCTCCGGGTCTACCGGCTCCACGCCCTGTCTCCCTCCTGGCTAGGGCGGTACCTGTAGTGCGCAGGAAACTGCCACCTCAGCAGCAGCAGGCCAAGAAGGGCACTGAGGCCCAGCACCAGGAGCAGAATGGTCACCAAGGAGATCCAGGCTAGGGGACAAAAACCTTCAGACCTTAGCCGACCTTCGGCCCCGCCCGCAAACCCTCCAAACCACGCCCTGGCCCCGCCCCTTACCATGTGGCCCGCCCCTCAAGCACGGCCCCGCCCCTCACCCCCTCGACCGCACCTCTTGGCACCACGGAGTTGACCGCGACTGCACAGCGGCGCAGCCGCAGACCGGCACGGTCAGGGCCCCGCCCCCTCATCGGAGCCCCGCCCCTCGTGCATCGGTGGACCCGCGTGGTCGCGGCAGTGCTGCTGCTTACCCGGCTCCGAGGCTGTCTCCACCCTCGCCGGCTCGGACCAGGCGCTCCAGGGGCCTTGATAGGTGGGGCCGTTGAGCCTGGCGCGCAGCTGTAAGCGGTAGCGAGATCGCGGGCGCAGCTCCAGGCTCCCTCCCCGGGCTCCGAGAGGCGGTTCCAGCACCTGCGCCGAGGAGAAGCGTGCGGAGATCGTGCGCCCTGCGGAGCTCCGCCAGCTTCCCACCGCGCGGGGTCCCCGGCGCAGGGCCGCGAAACAGGCGGCGCCGGGCGCCCTCACTGAGACCTTGTCCCTCACGGGGTCTCGCCCTGCCTGTGAGACGCACCAGGGGACACACCCTGGCACGCAGACACACCTTCACAGAGACCCTGACACAAGCGCCTGTGGGACACCTTGGCAGAGGTCCCGGTACTCGGACGAACTGACCACAACATGCTGGATGCTATCACCGCCACTCCTGAGTCACTCAGATCTGGAGCTGCACAGACCGTGCCACAGCACTACTGAGCCCAGGAGGGCAGATTTGTGCTAGGCGCTGGGAGTGCAAGCATCATGTGCGCAAGCAGGGTGTGTTAATTACTTAGCAAACATTTATGATTGCTGAAGATATACCGAACGTTAGGCTAGGCACCGGAGAAGATAAAACAGTCTCTTACATGTCTAATGAGGGAGACGTCCAAACCAGTCAAGAATCACAACTTGTACATGGTACCATAGGTGCACAAAGACATATTTAAGGCTGCCCGAGCTACTTGATGGGGGTTACAGCATGCTTTAGTGTGCTAAAAGTACCTATGGGAAGGCTGGATGGTCAAAGAGAAGGGTAAGCAGTCCTAGTAGGGCTTTGAAGTGTTGGTACATTCTTCAACTTGCTTGTTTTTTTTTTTTTTTTTTTCTTTTTGAGACAGGGTCTCACTATGCAGTCCAGGCTGGCCTTGAGCTCACTTTGTAGCCCACGCTGGTCTCGAACTCGCAACAATCCTCCTGCCTCAGCCTCCTGAGTGCTGGGATTACAGGCGTGGGCCACCACGCCCGGCTTCAACATGCTTGTTAATAAATAGGGAGGACAAAGAAAAGACATAGGTACTGGGTTAAGTGATAGTGTCATTAGCAGAGACAGAAGAGAAAGTAAGCTTGAAGAAGAAATGCCTTATGGTTCTATTTTGTTAAGTTTAACTACAGTCAAATGAACCAATGGTAATGTCAGGATAGTGATTACCTTCAGTGTGTAGGTAACTGTAGGGGACACGAGGAACTTCTGGGATGCTAGAAATTACTTATGTCTTGATCTTGGTAATGATTCCATGGGTGTATCCACATATACAGTTAGTTGTATATTTAAGGTTTGTACGCTTTATTGTATGTAAGATTTACCTCAGTAAAAACAAAATATACATTCAGTTAGAAAGATAAGTTTAATTTTGGATACACTGAGTTTGAACTGTCTGGGAATGAGGAGGTTTAGGGAGAGCTGCCTGCCTGGTGTCTAAATATGTTAAATGAAAATAAAGGTAGACCCAGAAGCTAATGTTTAACTGATGAATGCCTATGTTGAGTACCTTCTATATACCAGGCACTGTGCTAGGTATTCACATATAGTATGTCCTCGACTTACTGAATTTAATTTTTGCTCTATAAGATAGATGGCTTTATCCCTATTTCACCAGTGAGAAAGCAGATTCTTCAAAATTTGAGATAATCTGCCTGTGTTTCTTAAATTCCTGATATATGGGGGTTGGAGTGATAAAATTGGGGTTATTAATGTAAAGTTAAAATCATGGGGTTGGAACAGTTACCCAGAAAGAGCATATATATTTACCCAGAAGGGAAAAGAGCCTAAGACAACACTCTAGGAATTACAGCATATTACGGAAGAGTGGAAAAGGAGGAGTGGCAGGAAGAATATCAGGGAGGACTGATATCCCGAAAGCAAAGGGGAAAGAAAATTTTATGTGGGAGTAGCTAGCAGTGTCAGATCCTCAAGAGAGAGTAAGATACCAGTTAAATAAGGTAAACATAGATATACAAGCCCGACTTGGTAGTGCACACCTGTAATCCTGGCAGTCTAGGAGGCTGAGGCAGACGAATCACAAGTTAGAGCCTTGCCTCAGCAGTTTAGCCACTTAGCCCGAACCTGTCTAAAACTAAAAAAAAATTTAACAAGGCTGGGTATGTAGTTCAGTGCAAAGGCTCTGGGTTGGACTCCAGTACTGGAAAAAAAGAAAAAACCAGATAAACATAGATACATAAGCTAAACAGGGACTCGGTTTCTCTGGTACCAAAACAGGAATATCCTCTGAGGCCATTTGTTGCTTGACCATACCTTCCAGTCCTGATGGCCTTCTCCAATGTACCGGAGTTGATAGCAGGTTTCTTGGGCTGCCCAAGATGACGGGTGCTTCCACTCCAATGCCAGCTGCCCGCTGGAGACCTCCCTCCAGTGCAGGTTTGGGGTGGGGATGAGCACTACGGGGATTTCAGCAGGGACTGGTTTTAGCCTATGTGCATGAGGCGTCATACCACCAAGGCCATAGTTCAAAGGTGTCAGAGTTGGGGATCATGGGCATAGATAGGGTCAGAAGTTTCATGTGGGGGTGGGTGGGAACAGTATGAGAAGAAGGGGAAGAAAGTTCTTACCAGCCTGGTGCATCCAGAAAGGCGAGCCAAGGTAGCTATGAACCACACCCTGGGCTGTGGTCACTTCTACAAGGGTGTGAATAATACTGTCATTTCGTGACTTGAAGTGGCAGTGGGAGAGCTGAGGGAGCTGTAATTCTGGATTTGTTTTCTTCTCCTGTTCACACTTCTCCCAGATGGGGTCCCTAAGAAGCATAAAGTCATCGGATCAGGCCTAACCCTACAGACTAATTCCTATCCTCTCCGTGGGACACTGAGTGTGGCCAGCACGGGTCTGCCCCCACCTTGGATGCAACTCCAGGGTCCTCTCTCTGTCTTTGCACCATGAAGTCCAGTCTCTGCTCTTTGAGGAAAGAACTAGCCTGATTTGTGAAAATAGCACGAACTGCAGAGTTCAGATGCTGGCCTATGAATGTGTGACTTTGGGCAATTTTTGAAAATCTCTGCTCTAGTTTCCTTCTATTTGTACAATGGGTTGATATCTACCTCACAGAATTGTTTCAAAGATTAAAGAGACTTCATCTTTGTGGAGGGAAATGTCTTTATGTGTTTTAATCTGTTCTCATACAGAACCCCCCAACCCCACCTCTAAAGGTTATATCATTATCATCTGGCTTTTCTGCCTCCATTGTTCACCAAGTCCTTCAATTGGTTCTTCCCACAGTTACTAGAATTTGCTTCTCAAAATATTGAGGTGTTATTGTCCAGAATACACCACAAGTCTATCTATTTTGATCTTTACCACTGCCCTGTAAGGCGAAACCAGCCTTATCTCTCTCTCTTTTTTTTTTTTTTTTTTTTGAGACAGGGTCTCGCTATGCAGTTCAGGCTGGCCTTGAGCTCACTTTGTAGCCCAGGCTGGATCGAACTTGCAACAATCCTCCTGCCTCAGCCTCCCGAGTGCTGGGATTATATGCGTGTGCCACCATGCCTGGCTCAACCTTATCTCTTGCCTGATTTAAGGCAAATTTCTAGCTGGTGATCTTGCTTCTATTCTTATTTATGGTTTTTCAGAGAAACATACCTTTTACAAATGTAAGTCATGCCACTCTTCTGCTTAAAATCCTTCAGTTGTTCCAAGCTCCACACTAGTCCCTACAGGACTTCATATGATCTGGTTCCTCCTTACCTTGCCATCCTCATCTCTTAAGATTTGCATGCAAGCTTATCACCCTTCATCCACATGGGCCTTCTTTCTGTGTCTCAAAATGCCAGCTGTGTGATCTCTGCCTTTTGCCTTTGCCCTGAGTAGCTCTGACCCTAGGTATTTTTTTTTGGGGGGGGGGTTGTTTGTTTGTTTTTCCAGTACCAGGAATCGAACTCATGACCTTGTGCTTGCCAGGCAGGCGCTGTGCCACTGAGCTAAATCCCCAGCCCCAGACCCTAGGTCTTAACATGACTCATTCTTTCCTGCTGCTTAGGTCTCAGCTCACCTGTTACCTCCCTGGTAAGGCTTTTCCTGGGCACTCAGTCTGTTAGCAGTTCCCTCTTCCAGTTTTGTTATGTAACCTTGTTCCTTTATTTCCTTACTCCATTCTCCTCTCTTCATTAAAATGTGAGCCTCAACGATGAGGGTCCTCCCTGCTTTTCCTTGCAGTACTGGGGATTGAACCCCAGGTCTTTCACATGCTAGGCAATGAGCTACACCTCCGCTGTAGAACATTTTCTATTTTGTCACTCTGTTCCCAGTGCCCCAGTGACATTAATAACAGTTCTCTATTGAACAAGCAAACCACGTCTCCTTCCTGATCATAATTCTCAAGCAACTTGCCACTACTAAAATCATTTGTTACTTTATGAACTTATGTATTTACTCATTTCACAATGGATACCCATGTGCCGGGGATTGTGCTAGGCCTTTTGAGAATATAGAGGAATAATCTTTAAGGAATTCTCAGTTCAAAAAGAGAGACAGAAAAACAGATGCTATTTGTTCTGTGATGTGCACAGGCTGGCTTGAGGGACCAGGGAGGAGCATGTAACACAGACTGGGAGGGTCAGGGAGTGCTTCCTGGCTACGGCAGTGTTTAGACTGAGGCTTTACTATATATAGCCTAGCAGAGGGAACAATTGGGCATTCCAGGCACATGTTTGTGCACAGATAAGAGAGTGTGGTGCTTTGGGGGGAAATTCTAAGTGTGCAGAGTAGTTCTGGTGTAGAAGGGCTGGTGGTAAATGGTGAATGTGAGATGGCAGGCCCTGTCACAGATGGCTTTACAGCTTTTCAAAGGAGCTCGAACTTAATTTGGGGGGCAATTATGGAGACTACAAGGATTGAGAAATGTCATCATGACCTTTGTACTTGTGGAAGATCACTCTAACTGCGGTTTGTAGAGAGAATCTTTGAGGGGGAAATACAAGCAGAGAAACCCATTAGGACACTTGTAGTTTTCATGTGCAAGGTGACGGGGCCTGAGAATAGGGTGGGGGCAGTGGAGGTAGAGGGAAGAGGTGATTCCAGAGCTATTAAGAGGCACGAGAGACAAGACTGTGTCTGATCGGATTGGGAGAACTCAGGTGTGGGAAGCAGTTCTTGGTGAAGATGGAGAACAGTCAAGAGGAAGAACAAATTTTGGTAGAGGAAATGCTGATTTTAGTTTTTCACCTTTTATCCCATGCACGGCACCTCTATACTATGAAAACCTGTGTGGTCATTAAAGAAATGAATTGCTTCTTTTTATAACGAGCTCCAAGATATTTATTTTAAAAGTTGAGTTAAACCATAGAGGGCTAGAGGGCTTAGGAGATGCTTGATTAACGTGTGTGAGGGTTTAATCTTTAGTACTGCAAAAATAAATACAACCCCCCAAACCCATGTAGATGTAACATCAACTCATATTTTAAAATTAAGAATTATATATAAACATATGCAAATACATAGGAAGAAATAAAAATACATTAAAACTGTTAAAAGTAGCTTTTTCATTACTCATTCATTGAACTTTTTTTCAATACTGGGGATAGACCCCAGGGGCATTGTACTACTGATCTACAAGCTATATCCTCAGTCTTTTTTTATTTTTCTATTTTGAGACAGGATATCACTCACAGGCTAGCCTCAAACTGGCAATCCTCCTACCTCAGCCTCCCAAGTAGCTGGGCTCATAGGCATGAGCCACCATCTCCGAGTCATTCAGCATTTTGTTTTGTTTTTTACTGAGCATCTACTGTGTTCCCAGCACTACCACAGTGAGAATATATTGGTGAGTAAAAAAAATACTGATTTTGCCTTCATGGGTTGTACAGAGTTGTGAGTAGCATTTCTCAGCTGGAGTTCCAAAAGAGAATTTTTTTTTTTTTTTTTCAGTACTGGGGGTTGAATCTTGTCCTCAGCACTTTTTACATTTTAAAAACATTTTTAAAAAAGCTTTTTATTTTGACACAGGGTCTTGCTAAGTTACTAAGTTTTCCAGGCTTGGCTGGAAGAACTCCTGCTTCAGCCTTCCAGAGTACTGGGATAGTCAGATAAAGCATAAATTTCATTTTGTTTTGTTTTGTTTTTGAGACAGGGTCTTGCCGTGTAGCTCAGGTTGGCCACAAACTCACTATGGCCTCAAATTCCCATCAGTCTTCCTGCCTCAGCCTCCTGAGTGCTGGGATTACAGGTATATGCCACCATCCCTTGCCTTAAAGTGTAAATGTTAAATTGTAATTGTGATAAATACTTGAGAAGGAGAAAGTACAACTACTTGAGCAGTTGTACACGGTACAACTACTGCAGACAGCTCAGTTAGATAGAGATTAATATACAGTCAGAGAGGGATCAGGCCTCAAGGAAAGCAACACAAACATAAAGACATCAGAACTGTGGCTTCAGGCATGTTTAGAGGCCAGGCCTCAAAATGCAGTAGTTATGCTTGAAAGCTTTTTAAAGGAATAAACAGCAACTTGAGGTTATACTGTAATTAGCACCACTGATCCAATGAGTCCAGATAGGCATCAGATTTCTAGGTGGGTGCCCAACCACCTGGACCAATTCCTTCCCCAAAATGCTCTTGTTCTTTCTGTGTTAGAAGTTACAGATAAGCTAAAGCTAACGATGTTAGCCGTATTATCTTTGCTACGTGCCACACTTTCCTAAAGGCTCAAAGTTACCAAGCGATTATATTTGAAATCTTATTGGTTGCTTGTAGTTTGACCCACATTAAACCCTCATTGTGCTTTTGCTATATAAGTTACTCCTGACAAAGACCTTGGGTGGGCACCATTCTGGAAATTCAGGAGCTATTCTTCTTTCCCTTATTTCCAATAAAAGATCTCCCAACTTCCACCTTTGGTTGTGACTTCATTCCTCAGTGCTTTCAGACCACAAACTCAGCACATCTGACGTCTAGCAGGTTGGGAATTATATTTTTCCTGTAGCATAACCAAAGTACAATTGCACTATTGGATTTAATGAGGAAGGATTCCCAAGCTCTGAAGGATAAGCAGATGTTAAATAAGATGGGATAAATAGTAAGTTGGATAAGTAGCACATGCAAAGACCCACAGGCAGGAGGGAAATGAAACACATAAAGGAGCCACGGAAGGCCAGTGCTGGAACCAAAAGAACAAAGGGCGACATAGTAGAAGCTGCTAAAGCTCAAAGCATAGGTAAGAGCTGGGAACTTAATGAGGTTGTGACACACTTCTTTTCTTTCTTTCTTTTTCTTTTTTGGGACAGAGTATTGCTATGTAGTGCAGGCTGGCCTTGAACTTGCTTATGTAGCCAATCAAACTCACAGCAATCCTCCTGCCTCAGCCTCCTGAATGCTGGGATTACAGGTGTGCACCACCATTCCCAGCCTAGACTTCTTTTCTTACTCTAAAGCCACTAGGAAACCATAAACATTTCAAAACAGGAAGTGTTGTGTTCATTTACACATTTTAAAAGATCTTACCAGCTCCTACTCAGGAGAATATTTTGGAGGTGATCAGTTCACAGGTCTTTTCAGTGGCCTAAGTAAAAGATGTCGGTGAGATGTACCAGGGTAATGGCAGTGATAGATAAAAGTGAACAGATTCTGGAAATATTTAATAACTAGAATAACATGACTGGGTAATAGATTGGTTTCAGAGAGGATGAAGCTTCAGTGAGGTGTTAGGTGGAAGTCCTCGCAGGCCAGGCGAAATTCATATAAATTTACTAGACTGTAGATCTTGAGGAAGGGAAGGCCAGTCAGTGTTAGTTTCATAAAAATCATGTGATGTTGGCGTTTAACAAAGGTCACTTGGGGTACTCAGCACAGGAAATAAATGGGAGGTGAACGAGACTGCAGGCTGCTACAGGAGATGGACTCCTGTAGCAGGAGACATGATAAGGCGGCACGAAACCAAGGCATTCTGGGTAGGAATGGAGAGAGGCTGAGAGGATCGAGCACTCACTGGAGCATATGAGAATAAGCAATAGAACCTAGAGGCTGCTTGGTTTGGGGACGAGGTAGGAAGAGTGAAGAGGACTAAGAGCAATCTTTTCCTTCGCTCTATGGACTTATGTTTCTCTCCCATGACATCGAACCCAACCAAGAGTTAAATGCTTACCTGTCTCTAGGGCAGCACTTGACCTTGTTGTGGTAGAAGAAGCCTTGGGATCGAGTATGGTTCTGTTGCCGCCACTGACAGGTGACATTCATCAGGTCCAAAGTAAAGCATTGCAGTCCAATTGCCACTGAGGTAAAGAAGTCAGTCCCATCAGGGCCATGTGCCCCCACGCTACAGAGAATCCAGATCATTTTTATCCATATAACAGAACATTTACAACTCTTGTTCTCTTCCTGAACATAGTCTGTCCCGTGTAATGGCAACTTTGAGGGCGTCAGAAAAGACCGTGGTTCCCAAAGCCTCCACATCCACCCTAAGCCTTCGTAGACATCTTTTTAAATCTCTCCTCCATCTTACTCACCTGCATCCTTAGGCAGGTCCACAGTCACAGGGAGGGACCAGGGTCCCCAGGAGCCACTGAAGGAGATTCCATCAGGTTGGCTGCGCAGCTGGAGCCGGTAAGAATTGCCAGGCAGGAGTCCGGAAATGAGGCAGCTTCCACCCGTCACAGGCAGAGATGGAGCCTTGGGAGAAAAGTCCCAGCAATGGAATCTAGGCCGCCTTCCAGGCAATAGACTCTGCCTCTTATAGTTGGAGCCTTATAGCACCTCTGCGCAAAGGTCATTTCCCTACTTGGTACATGCACAGACTGAGGGCCAGCTCAGTGGGTATTGAGTGCTATTCAGGGCTTTTCAGGAAAATCTCCTTTTTTTTTGTTTGTCTTTTTGAGACAGGGTCTCAATGTGCAGCTCAGGCTGGCCTTGAACTCACTTTGTAGCTGAGGATGGTCTCGAACTCACAATGATCCTCCTGCCTCAGCCTCCAGAGTGCTGGGATTACAGGCGTGCACCACCATGTCCGGCAGGAAAATCTCCATCTATTTGGAGGCCTGAAGCCCTCAATTTTGTCAGTACAAATAACCCAAAGTGAGAGAACCTTAGACATGGCTCCTGGGGGCTGACCAGAGGCTATCTTAATTCCCTAAGGGCCAACCCCACCTAGAATCTCCAAAGTACAGGTGAAAGTGAAGGTAAGGGATAGGAGGAAGAGCAGAACAATGGTAGAATACTTCTCCAGTTGGGGAAGTCTGCTTTGGCCCATCCTGTTGGGGTGCTGTGGGTTGAACACACGGAGGCCAGTCCAGAGCAGGGGCTGGGTTCAGCCTCCGCAGAGTGGGGCAGCAGGTCTCTGTGGGGAGCAGCTGTATGACTCTGGTGTCAGTGGTGTTCCTGGGGTCGACGGGGCCATAGCGGAGTTCGTGCCTCAGGAAGTCACTGATTTCGGGAGCCGGAGCCTCCCAGTGTAGGTGAAGTTCCCCTGGCTGGCTCCCGCCTGTGGCCTTGATGACACTGGGAGGAGCTGGCAGGCCTGAGGGCAAAACAAGGCACATCAGAACTCAGACTGTGATTCAGCCTGTGGATTGCTGAGGATGCTGGAGACTGAATTGGGGCAACCTGTGGGATCAAAAGGATCACAGACTGGAGGAGAGGCCGGGTAGGAAGGCTTTGTATGCTGTTCTTTCCTCATGCTGTGGTGCAATGGCTTGTTAGACTCAGTGCTTCTTGAAAGCGGGGACCTCATTTTCACTTCTGTATTCTCATCACCTGTCACAGTGCGTGGCACACAGTAGGTGTTCTGTAACTGTGGAATGGGTGAATAAAAGACTATGGTAACGATGGAAAGACTAGGGTATCCCTGGTGTGAAATGATTTATGGGACAGGGTAGCTCTGGATGAGGAGTCTGGGACAGATGATAAGGGGGGTCTTGAGATGCTTCTGGGGGTCTGATGGGAGCACTCATGTTGTCCTGAAAGACTGAAGACAAGTCTGATTCCAGGAACTGGACTGCAGACCTCAGACAGAAGGAGCAGAGTGACAGAGGTGCCCTTACCCACAGTATCCACAGACAGCACCCACTCAGTCAGAGTCCGGTTCAGGAACACATCCTTCACCCAGAGGTGCAGCTTAGAGAAGAGGCGTACTTCATCCTGGGCTTGCAACTGGCACATGTATCGGGTTCCAAAGGGGGGCACGCTCTGGGAACTCAGGGGGCAGGCACGGGGCTTCTCTCTGTTGATACAGGAGACATCCTGCCTACACAGCCGCCATGTTCAGCCCTGAGGACCCTGGCTTTGGCTCATTCCCAACTTCTGTTTCCATTCGCTCCATTCTTCTCACTGCTTGAGGTAGGCAGGATTAGTGTTATATAGGGGTTTAAGACGGGCTGTTCATAAAGTGGTTACGTAGAACATAGACTTGAAATAGTCCTCTGATGGGGCCAAACACAAGGAATCTAACAGAGTGGCACTCAGCTGAATGAAGTGCAGGCACAGATATACAGGGAGTGGGGCACAGCCCAGCACCTACCCTGAGTAGGCATACAGCAGCTGATACGTCCCTCTGGGTGCTGCCTCCTCCTCATCCCAGAAGCAAGTGAGGTCCTCAAATGTTTGGGAGAAACAGTTCAGGGGCTTTGAGTCCGAGGTCAGCAAGGAGACATCTGAGGAACAGCTGGTGAGTTGGGTTCTGGGTCCTCCCAGGTATGTTTACGGGCAAGAGTAGGGGAACATGGAAGTCTACTACCCTGCATCTCCTCCCAGGAACCTACACCCCTTCCGAGAGCTCCCTCTTCCTGGGCATAGGTGATCTCCACCCTCTATACACCTCACCTTGGCTGGTGACTTGTGCCTGGTTTGGGGGGGCCAGGAGAAGGCAGGAGGTGACCACAAAGAGGGCCCAAGAGGGCATCTTCTCCGGCACTGTGCCTGCCCTAGCCCATCCTCCCTTCAGGAAGCCGGGCCCCAATCCCCTCCCGGGCCAGCCCCTCAGGTTCCTGTCAGATACAGCCCCACGTCCTGTCCCTGTCCCTGCCCCTCTGGGGCCCATCCAGACCACATTGGGGCCAGGGCCCAGGGGAGGGGGAGTGGGCTGGAGGGTAGGAGGGATTTGAAAGAGAAGACATCAGCCTTTTGGTGGGAGGGAGATGGGAGGATATATATTTGTGCACCAAAAAGAGAATAAGTGAGTGTGTATCTGTGTTAGCTATTATAGCTGTTACCAAGGCAGGCAGCATTCACTGAGCTGCCATATGTTAAGCAATTTGTACCGACTAATTCAGTCCTCAAAATAGTCTTATTATTTTCATTATAAAGATGAGAAAACTGAGGTGCAGAAACGTTAAAGATTTGCCCAAGATCACATATCTCCTAAAGGTAAAGCTCTGGAGATCAGCCTTCAAACCCAAGCACTGAACAGCAACACTATGCTCCTAGAAGGCATTATCCGCCGAGCAACGACTGCCTCACAACCATAGCAGATGGTAGGTTTTGCCACTGTCAGGAGTTCTTGAACTTTGCGCATAAACACATGTCCCACCATTGTGTGTGACCTCCACGGTGACCCCTGGTTGATCTTCTAAAAGTATCTGTAGACAGCAGCAACAGAGAATAGGAGCTTGCTAGAAATGCAGAATTCCAGCTGGCTGCAGTGCCACGTGCCCGTAGTGCCTGCACTTGAGAGGCTGAGGCAGGAAGCTCAGGAGTTCAACCTGGGCTACATAGTGAGACTCTGTCTTAAAACCCCCCAAACCAACAAACAAATACAAAGAAAGAAAGCAAGAAAATAAGCAATCTGGCAGGCAGGCAGAATCCTAGGCTTCACCCCAGACCTACTAAAACAGAACTTACATTTACTAAAATGCTCAGATAATTCCAAGGCACATTCAATTTTGGAATGCACTTTTCTTCAGTGTTTCCACCTGGCTTGCTCAGAAGCAGGAATCCCTGGCTGCAGCTCTTCTGCATGTTCCTGTCTTCTCATGTTAGTAACTTTTTTTTTTTTTTTTGGTACAGGGAATCGAACTCAGGACCGTGTGCTTACCAGGCAGGCGCTTTGCCACTGAGCCATATCCCCGGCCCTCTCATGTCAGTAGCACAGCGGAGCGTATGATCTTTTCATGGAGACCCTGGTCTCTTTCCAGGTGTGCTGAACCACAGGTGGCTTCTGTATCAATTCTGGGAGCTTTGACTTCTGCGGTGCAGGGAAGAGCGGATTCGAGGGAGGAGCATGAGCAGCCATATTTACTCCACAGTTAACCCTAGGCATTAGTGGGGGGCTGCGGTTGCTGGCTCTGTAGAGTAAGTGTCCTCAATAAGGTTCTTTTTCTCTTCCTCTTTCTGAATTAGTTAGTTTTACTAACAATTTTAGAAGGTGAGGGGTGGGTAGAGGGAAGTCCCTTCTGCCTCCCGTGAAGTCTTAGTTTCTCTGCCACCATTTCTGTGCAAGTTGTCTCTGGGCCAGGTTTGTCCTCTGCCCTACTAGCTGTCAGGTTTAGAAAGACCAATGGTACAATTTTGGATGCCCTCCCTCCAATCCCATCTAGGGCTACTGACTCTCTGGCAGATATGTGAAAGGGAAGCACACCTTTTTTTGTCTTTTTGAGATAGGGTCTTGCTATGCGGTGCAGGCTGTCCTTGAGTTCACTTTGTATCCCAGACTGGCCTTGAACTCACAATGATCCTTCTGCCTCAGCCTCCCAGGTGGTGGGATTACAGACATGTGCCACCACACCTGGCTTGAAAGGGAACCACACTTTAATATTCATGTAGCCTATAGCTTTGGATGCTGTATGAATGCTGATGACATCAAAATTAATATCTCCAGCTGTGACTCCTCCCCTGGTCTCCAGATTTGAATAGCTAACTGGCTACTTGGCGTCTCCATTTATATTTAGGGTGATTTTCTTTTTTATTGAGACAGGGTCTCGCTATCGCTGGCCTTGAACTCACAGCAGTCCTCCTGCCTCAGGCTCCCAAGTGCTGGGATTACAGGTGTGTGCCACCACAGCTGGCCCAGGCTGGGTGAGATGGCACATAAACTGTAGTCCTGGCTACTTGGGAGAATGAGGAGGGAGGATCATTTGAGCCCGGGAGGTCAAGATCAGAGCCTGAGCAATAAATAATAGTGAGACCCTGACTCCAGAAAAATAAAAGAGGAAGGAAGGAAGAAAGGGAGGAAGGGAGGAAGGAATGAAGGAAGGAAGGAAGGAAGGAAGGAAGGAAGGAAGGAAGGAAGGAAGGAAAAGAAACCTTTTTCTTTGAGAGGTGGTTTTACTATGTTGCCCAGGCTGGTCTCAAACTTTTCATTCATCTACCTCAGCCTCCCGAGTAGCTGGGATTACTGCTGTGCACCACTGGGCCCTGCCAAAAGAAAACTGATTCTGCCTTCCACACTTAAATCTGTTTTGTTTTCTTACTCTTGCCTGCCTCTGTAAGAGGCACTTCCACCTACTCAGCTGCTCAAACCCCAGACCTCAGTACTCCTTGCTTCCTATTTCTCAGCCTATATCCAATTAACTAGCAAGCCTTGTCAGATCTTCCCTCAAAAATGTACCCAGAACCTGAGCACTTTTTACCGCTTCACCACACCCCCACCCCGTCTTAGTCCACAACGGATTACTGCAATAGCTTCCCTCACTGGTGTCTCGTTTCGTCTCCCGATGACTCTGGTACCCTTGTCCTCACTCTCTGGAAGAGAAAATTGAGGCTAAAAAGGAGCAAGTAAGTTGCCAAAGCCATTGCTGAGGGATGGAGCTGAGATCTGAATTCTGATCTGTTTGATGCCAAAGCCTGTCTTGTCTTGTTTTGTTTGTTTTTGAAATGGGGTCTTTCTATGTTCCCCAACCCGGTGTCAAACTCCTGGACTCAAGGGATCCTCCTGACTCCGTCTCACTATAGCTAGGACTATTAGTGTGCATCGCAATGCCCTGATAAAGCCTCTTTTTATACTGTCTGCATGGACACCTCTGACTAGGCCCACCTTGTAGCTATTTCCTCCGTCTTGTTCATCCATTTAACATTATGTATCTAGCACAGGGCCCGGTATGAGTCTTTCCCAAATGTGAGACTGAGTCCAGAATGGGATCAGGAGGGGTGTGATGCAAGTCAGTGGGAAAAGGACCAATAGTTCCAGCAGCAGTCCCAAGGGAGGCAACTGCAAGGGCCCAATCTGGTTAGCCATCCTATACCCTCTCTGAGACGTCCTGGCCCTGAGCTGCCTAAACAGGCTGCTGGCATTTCTCACGGCCCCAAATCCAAGGCCTGCTGCTGAACGAGGAGGGCCAGCTTCCACCATAGCCAGCTTCTGCTTTGTCCCAGGGAGGGCCTGAGGTGAGATAAGAGAATAGATGGCCCCTGGGAGGAGCCTGAGCTGCCCAGAGTGCCTTGCAGGAAATCACCCCTTCCTTGAGGATGGGAGGGCAACGGATGACTCAGGGATGCCTGCTGGGAGTTCCTTGTCTGAAGCCAATATGAGCTGAGGTGAGGCTCCTTGGACGAAGAGCCCAACCAGGTTTGCCTTTCCCAGCTGCCTGCCTCATGAGGGTTTCCTGTGGCTTTTCCCATCATTTCTCTGGAAACAAGTTTGTGCTGCTGGGCTGGTCTCTTGCTCCAGCCCTGCCCAACCCAGGTCTTCTCCTGTGACAAAAGAGTGAAGCAGTGAGAACTGAAGCTAGAATGGGGTGGGGCAGGCGGAGCTGACAATTTATGACTGCCCAGGGCCTATGGGTGCAGTCCTGGGTCTTTAGAGTGCCACAATGGGAGTATATCAGGGCAGGCTGCCTTTGTGGCACCACCTTAGCACACATAGAGTATGTAGTCAACGTTATTGGAAATGAATTTGGAAGTGCACTGTGCAAATTGCGCCCTTTGCCATTGTGGTGGAGAAGCAGCATACTACTGCGCCTGAGAGAGAGACTCTGGAGCCAGAATGTGCAGGTTGAATACCAGCCGCGCCACTTAGCAGCTGTCAGACTTTAGCTAAGTTACCTAGCCCCTGTGTGCCTTTCTGTTTTGTAAAACAAAAATAATACCTACTTAACAGTTGTTGAAGATCAAATTAATAACGCAAAGGACTTGGGAAAATGCCTGGCATTTAAGCACCATGTACGTAGTAGTTGTTTTTATTCTTTAGTGAGTAGCATAAATGTAAACACGCTCGGCAGTAACCCTGGGCTCCATGTCCAAACCCTGCCCACTCTGTCTCCTGAGGTTTTCTTCCAGATCACTGCACCTCGCCATTACGTTTCTTGCACTCCTAGCATAGACTCACACTCTCTGAGCAGTCTTGCATTGATTTCTTTTACCTCTACTTGTTTTTTTGTTTTGTTTTTTTAAAACAGCTTCACTGCCATATATGTCATATACCATACAGTTCTCCCGGTTGGTACATGATGCAGTGATTTTTAATCTATTCACAAATATGTGGGACCACAGTCAATTTTAGACCTTTTTTAAAAAAAATCACCTGAAAAAGAAATCCTGCACCTGTTAGTGTTCAGCCTGTTGTCCCCTCAATTTCTTCCCAGCCTTAATTAAACAACCACTAATCTACTGTCCCTATATGTATTCCTATCACTGAACTTTCATACAAATGAAACACAAATATTATATATTGTTTTTTATGACTGGTTTTCTCTCACTTGATATGACATTTTCAATGTTCACCCATGGTATAATGTAATGGTATGAAAAAGTGGCTGAATAAATATATGAAGTAATGGTGAATAATATTCCATTGTATGGAGATACAGTATTTATCTATTTATCTCTGATGGACATTTGGATTATTTCTTCTTTTTGGTTATTGTGAATGATGTTGCTATAAATATCTGTGTGCAAGTTTTTGCGTGGACATATGTTTTCACTTCTCTTGGGCACACACCTAGTAGTGGAATTGCTGGGTCTTATAGGAACTGCATGTTCTCATACCAGTAACGTAGGAGAGTTCTGAACTCTCCTTCCTCACA